TAGCAGAATAAGTTAAATTATAGGAAAATTTCACACTCATCACCATCAGAAAACCGAGTGTCAATGTAATAAATTTGATGATGTCCAACATTTGCTGGTGGAATGCTAAAAGAAGAGAAAAGAGAGAGAGAGAGATGGTGATGCGAGAGCTAAAAATGAAACGATATGATGTCGGGGCTTTCATTAAAATATTTCTTCACCAAATTCAAAAGGAGCGGAATTTATTTATGAAGTTCTCTGCGGCTCTATGCCCCTTATTTACACAATAATAAGTAGGTTAGTAATAATTACATAATTAGAATAAATGTTGTTAGCCTCTTGTCTGTTGAAAGTTGCGGGTATAATGTGTTTTATACCGGGAGTCGGTGTTTCAACAGGTAAAAGGTTAGTTATAAGTTGTATCAGCGTATGATGAGGCTGACATACATTTGTAAGGAAAAAGCCTCTAAATAAATATAAATATTAAAATAACAGCTGAAAGACATCCATTGCCTGACGAAAAGCCTTTCTTGAGATGAGTTAGGTATAATCCCTACGATTGGCAGATAACTTGAGGATCTCAGTACGATCATTAAACTGTCAAACACCAAGCGGTCACCGGTGACCGCGACCTATTGTTCTTTAATTGTGTCTATAAAACCGGTACTCGACGAGTTAAAGAGATGAACAGATAGTATAAGCCTGATTGACGGAAACTAGTTTAAACCGGATTGTTTGATCATCTCTAATCACTGAAGGTTTTAAGGATACTGCTTGTCGAAGTTTAAGGATGTAAGTGTCCGCGTCCATCCCTAAAAACGTTCATAATTTGTTGTCAAGAGCTTGCACGTATTGGAGTAAACTCCGTCACGCATAGTTGCTCAAAGCCAAGTATTTCGGCAAATCTTGACGCACGGATAATCACGGCGTGTCTTGAATTCCTTTATACCAATAAAACAGGGTTACAGAAATAGTTGAGCGAAGGTTCAGGTACAAATAACGAGTTTTCATTTCGGTATATTCATTTATTTAGGTGATATTTAGTGCTTTTTAGGAAGACGAAAAATGAGTTGCTTATATATTATGAAATATCGAAAAAAAATAGTATAGATTGAACTTCCTATGACAACTTCCTATGACTATCAAAAATTCCAACTACCTAATGTCGTTTAATTAGCCAATACCTTAAAAAAACGTTTTATACAGTCAATCTGACGGTAACGACTTTTCATGTTATGTTTTTATAATATCTATTGTGAGACATACCTACTAATTAAACTAAAAATCGCGGGTTACTCACGTGAAAATATTGAGAAAAGCTGTACTAGTTTCGACATACAGAGAAGCTCTTCCTCATAAGCAGCGTGCGCGGTCACTAAATATAAAGCTATTTTCAATATTTTCACGTGAGTAACCCGCGATTTTTAGTTAACTTTTCACGTTGATATGATCTTTATGATTAGCCGAGAAGATAAAAATTTAAAAAACTTCGTACAACCTAAACCGAATCGAACCTTTTACAACGCAATATAACTTTACCCCGTAACTCCTGAACTGCATATTACATAACCAAAAGATACCTACCATCAGCATGAACTTAAAATTTACATAAAGTGAACGACAGTTTCATATTATGAGCAAGTGCTCAAACATATGCGACAAGACGCGACGCGATCAGACGCGGTAAAATATAGCCTACCAAAATGACATGTATACATATTTACATGAAGTCGGAAGATACAGGACTATGATTAATAGTGGTAGACTCAAGATTGATGGAAGTATACATTAGAGACTTCTACTTTATGTTCTTATTTGAACTAATTTCCAGTTTAAGTGCGTTAAGTAAGTTGGTGACGTTGAAGGAGTACGCTCTCTAGGATCGGGAGTAGTTTCAAAGAAATTTGTATGTACTGACATTGAATTTGTTTCATCAAGAAGTTCTAAGTTTAATTATCAATTGGAGAGATATTAGGTATGGGATCTTAGATATCAAGTAGGAGAATTGTAAACTTGGTGTACCTTTTTTTGAGGGGGGAAAATCATCCAATGACTTCTCCAACCTGGGTGAGGTGGGAGGTGTCAGACTCTTACTGACTAAAAATCACCCCGTTCGTACTCCTGCACTTCGAGCTAGTCCCCGGCAACCTGTTAAGTAATCCGCGGCTCCGTATTGGCATCATCCCTACCGGGCCCCATCTGCGTTGGTCTGATGGCTCTTTGAGGCGCGCGTGGAATGCGACGCGCTGTACGCTGGGGTCTGATTCTGGTCCGTCGGCGGATCACCATTGCTCGCCGTTCGCAGGCCCGTGCTTAAACTTGGTGTATCTAAGGGTATAAAATTAATATCATAGTGATGTGTGCGAAAGAGATAAGTGGTCATCATCAAAAACAGTCTTAATCCAGTAGTCCTACTATTTACATATGGAGATTTACCATAATTTCTTCACGTGGCATGCTGGTTGGAGGTAGTAATTTAAAAAACCCCGGTTTATCAAATAACGTTACTACCTTCCTTTTTAAATGTATACCTTAATCGGCGTTTACGACACCCGTAACAGTATTCGCACCTATATCGTCAATATTAGGCATTATACTCTATCGTCAATAAGGACTTGATAAAAAAAAATAAGTCTTGTATTTTTTCTCATTTCTCATCTTCACTTTTATAGCATACTTTCACACTTCCCACGAATGAGAATACCAAAACATAAGCAGCACACACATTTATCACCCCTTCACAAGTCGAAGCTCTGATTCATGTGCACGACCCCTTACCTTGTTTGTACACCGACCTTATTTTAAAAAGATACCTCATGTAATATAAAAGGAACAAATCCAGTGAGTTATAGATGACCTAAATGCAGTTTCCTTTGGCCCAGTTCCTTGACATGAAGGTAGTAACTTTGATGGATGGTCTCACCTTTAGATACGTTACGAGTGACCTAAAACTAAAGTCGTTATCAGGAACTTCGGTTAGCACTCTTTGGGGAGCGTTGGTTTTGGTAACAACGCCATCTGTTATTGTTTTCTGAAATTAATGCTCATCAACGTAAGTTTTTTATAGCGAGGTATGTTCAGCTCCAGTTCGTCGTCAACGTCTATTTTCTGTGAATGCAACCAAACTGATAAACGCAGAAAACGGTAGTTGACAGGTAGTCAAATTCAATAATTTTATTGAAATGTCAAAAACGATACTTTTATATGAATTCTGTATTGGATCGCAACTTATGACGTCATCATATTTCTGCGTCAAATAGCATACTTATTTCTGTACGTAAATAAAATTGTCATATTAATGGATGAGAGTATGATTATTTTTTTAAATAATTTATTGCATTGAAAAGTTGAAACTATTTATTTTAAACCTAGAAAACTAGCCAATGTTGGAATGTACTTATCAACCTTTAAACATTGTTAGGTTTTATACTATTTAGAGAGTGTTTTCATAGTGTATGTTTGCCAGACATCTTGGAAATAACAAACCTGGTCACTGATTATGAAGATATAATAACATAACATAACATCACGCCTTTTATCTTCGATGGGGTAAGCAGAGGTGCACATTACATTAAATGCCACTGTACCATGTAACACCCACTTTTCACTATTTATATTATGAGTCTCATGTAACAGGGGGTGAGCCTATTGTCATATACCGGGCACAATTCCAGGCTCTGTGCTACTACTAAGATTTTTTTTAAAACCCAGTTGTATTTTGCTCGACCCGGGAATCGAACCCGAGACCCTTTGCCCGGCAGTCGCACTTGCGACCACTCAGCCAACGAGGCAGAAGATATAATGCTGGTATCAGAAAAAAAAAACAACAAATGATAGTGTGTTAATTTAATTTACTTACGTACTTTGTAATGAAAAAACTTTAGCCTATCGTATATCACAATAAAATAATCTTAGTTACAACTATACAAAATCTATACTAATATTATAAAGCTGAAGAGTTTGTTTGTTTGTTTGAGCGCGCTAATCTCCGAACCTACTGGTTCGAGTTGAATAATTATTTTTGTGTTGGATAGTCCAGTTATCGAGGAAGGCTATAGGATATAACATCACGCTACGACCAATAGGAGCTCAGCAGAGCGTGTGAAACCGCGCGGAAGTAGCTAGTATCATAATTTGTAGGAAACTGTTCAATTGCACCATGATCGGGTGCACCGTAAAATTATGACACAATCAAACATTTCCAGTTGGAACTCACTTCTAAACAATGTTTTTAAAAATTACCTATATTAATATAATCATATACATATTAATATTACATTAACACCTTTGGTGTAAAACAAAATTATTCTTGTACACATCAGTCGTTAGAAAACCAATATAATCATTTAGATCCTTATTATACACACTTAACATCACACCTTTTATCTCCGAAGGGGTAGGCAGAGGTACACATTACACCACTTAATGCCACTATACAATGTAACACTCACTATTTACTATTTATGTTATGAATTCCATGTAAAAGGAGGTGAGCCTATTGTCATATACCGGGCACAATTCCAGACTCCGTGCTACTACTGAGATTTTTTTAAAACCCAGTACTACTTTTCCCGACCCGGGAATCAAACCCGAGACCCCTTGCACGGCAGTCGCACTTGCGACCACTCGGCTATTGAGGCAATCCTTATTATAATACTCTCAAAATCTTTTAAGGATACAAAATGCTTATAGTATCATTAAGTTCATAACTATAAACTACTTACGCCAAACTGACAAATAGATTTTCTACTTTCTTTTAGATACACAAGAAAAACTCAATTAAATAGTGTCACTAATCCCGGAATACTGAAACGTTACTCAATTTTAAGTCGTGCTTAAATATCGCGCCATCTCTGTCGTTTTACAAAGAATTTGTGGAGACAGAACTATTACTTAAGCGCGACTTACAATTGTATAGCGTTTGAGTATTCCGGCATAAGAAAAATATCTTTTAATAATAATGTAACCTACATCACTGTCTACAGGTAGACTAAATCTCTTTGTAATAAGGTCGAAAATCCTTAATTCGCCCTCGGTTTGAATTTCAACCAATGTCCTCCTTCGAGCCTCAGGTTGAAGGTGTTCTTGCATAACTTGGCTGGTATGCAGGTCTTTGCGCATGGAGACACCTCCATCTCTCGTAGGATCTGATACGCCATTACCTTTATCTCACAAAGCGCAAATCTGGACCCTGAGAAAAATAAAGGTTTTTTTCTACATAATTTCACCAAATCGTCTAATGTCGCATACTTTAATTGACATAAGAAGGCCTGATGCTGGACGGAGGTCAAATTCTCTACCCCTCATTCTCAGTCCCCAAATCTCTTATCCTCAATCCTCAAACTATATAAGGCCTGCAAAGCACTTCTAACTTTGGTGTTGTGAAAGTCAGTGAACGGCGCCAATTACTTATTACCAGAAAGAAAGAAAGAAAAAAAAAACTATTTTTCACACACTAAAAACAAGTGATATGTACAGATTATAGTGCTTAAATACATATTTATGTCCCAAATCTGCGGTAAAATGAGACCAGTTCAGTATATGCAAGCAGAGCCTTGCGCTGGTATTCTACGGGTCCCATACGTGAATCACCCTTAAACTTCGTGGCTACACTCACCAATGCAATTCCTAGGTCCGACACCGAAGGGCATATACGCGGCAGGATTAATCGTGTGTTTATTCTCTTCCGAGAAGCGCTCTGGGTCGAACTTGTCAGGGTTGGGAAAGTGTTGAGGGTCTCGGTGGATTGGGTAAACTGGAATCCAGATTCCAGTGCCTTTGCGGAGCTAAAAACAGAAATAATTCACATTAAAGAAGTTCACTCAAGTTTGTCACTTGTTTTAATACGTAGGAGTCAACACTTTTGGAACAGCAACTAGTTTCACTAAAGGACCGTCGAAACTATTTTTATATTTTTATTGATTTTGCTACATGTATAAGATATGGTTTTCTTCTACAATGTTTCAGATTATGATGATGTATCATATAGAAATTTTAACTTACAATGAAATCTTTCTCCGCTTTAGGGTTAGGTTTGCCCATATTGTAGTCCTTAGTGCAAAGTCTGTCAAGGGCAACGCCAGGAGGCCAAAGTCGAAGGAGCTCTGCAAAATGAAATATAGATTAAATTCTAGCAATTTTTCTAATTTATTGTTTTACACTTTGTGTTGTTTTCGTTACTATTCTAGATTGAGGAACTAGGACTATAACAGTCCATTGAATTAATAGTTCTTATTATTAATTCTTGGTTTAAATCTACCTCTATAACAGCCTAATTGGCATGTATCACATTGAGTATGTGCACTTCTACCCCATCAGAGACCAAATCCTTACTTCTGACTTTCCTTTTTATTTTATCGTAACTTTTATATTCATAATCAGCTTCATCAACCTCACCTGAAACAACCATATCCATGTAGACCATGTTCTGTATAGAGTTGAAGTCGAACTTGCCGCCGTTCTTAGCATCGTTCTCCTTGATTTCCTGCGCCAATCTATCCTGGACATCAGGGTTCATAGCCAGCTCGTAGAGCAGGAAGGACATTCCTGATGACACGGTCTCAAAACCGGCAATGAAGAACAGTACTGCTTGTGCTACGAGGTCCTCATCAGTCCACACTAGAAGTATATTGGTATAATTAAAATTATGTTCTTATAGATGCTCTAATACATTATTAATCGTTTTGTGATAAAGTTCTGTTGATAATGTTACTGGTCTTTTTTAAGTTCGTCGTTTAATGTACTTATGATCGTCATTTTAATTTTTTCCTATTATCAGATTTAACCATATATGAATTATTTTTAAAACGTCAACCTACACTAGGATTTTCTCCTGTGTCGTGGGTGCGTTTACAAACATACAAGTTTACATACACGTGACACTCAGACCCGAAATAACAATTTGTGCATCATACAAAGTTGTTGCTGCAAAGTTTAGTTTTAATTTTAATTTCTTGCTATTTTCAGATTTAACCAAATATAAATATTTTATCATCAGTTTTCTTAGTTATCTACAACTTGTTTTTAACACCATTTGTAATTTAACTAACACGGCAAGGTTATAATTAATTATGTAAAAATAAGTTCCAATACAGGTATTAAGTGACTTTGTAACTCTACACCAGTGTTGTATAAAATCTCCAGCTTCGGTCAATGTGTTATTAAAACTAATATCCGTGTTTCGTCCGAATGTTATTTTTTATCAAACGTTTTTATCAGCTGACGAGGTTTTAATATCATTCATATTTTCATCGTCATTTATTATGACGTTCTCAGGTACATATTTTTCTGTAACTAATAATCCACTAATAACTTTAGCCAAAATGACTTTAATAACAGCTTTAAATACATTAGTTTTTACTACATTGACGTCTGAACCAAGTTCTGGGTGCTTACTCTTGAAACCAATCTCAATGTCAATGCAATTTTAATCCGATAAAATCTAAATAATTATTCAATGTCAAAACTATCCAACCACTATCGTAGCTGTTAAAATAGCATTCAGAACACGGAATATAAAGCCAAACTCAATACCATTTAGTTCATTCAATGTCCACGCAATACCGATGCAATGGGCGCTTGTGTTGTAAATCAAGGGTACAAAATTTCACAATACCAATGTCGATCGATCGGAATTAGATTCAAGAGTAAGCCGCCTGTGTTCTAAATTTGTAATACATACCTCTATTAATTTCTTTCTGTCCGACAGCTGATTCTTCTACAGTTGCAAATCCAGCTGCTAAATCATTTGGTTTGATTTCATCATGAGTCAGTTTGCCTGTAATTAAAAAGTCATTAGTAATGTTATCTTTGAAATCATCGATTATGTTATTTATTACATAATATCACGCCTTTTATCCCCGATGGGGTAGGCAAAGGTGCACATTACGACACTTAATGCCATTGTACAATGTAACACCCACTTTTCACTATTTATGTTACGAGTCCCATGTAATAGGGGGTGAGCTTATTGCTACATACCGGGCACAATTCCAGACTCCGTGCTACTACGGTACAGTTTATAAAAAACCCAGTAACACTTTGTCCGACACGGAAATCGAACCCGAGACCCCTTGCCCGGCAGTCGCACTTGCGACCACTCGACCAACGAGGCAGTCTTGTATGCGTATGTTAATTATTATCATTTCATATTTTCTTTTGTCTACCTTTCTTAGCTTCCATCAACAAATGAATCATGTCGGGTCTGATGATCTTCTTTAACTCTCGGTTTTCCATTGTACCAAGTACCAGCTTTTTAAATGCCTCCTTTGATGACTCCGAGAGGAAATCCAATTTTAATAACTGTGGGATAAGGTAGAAATTACATTAAAACATAATCATGATTCATGATCGTGAACAGATATGGTAGTCTTTATCACAATTACATAGAGATTATTTTCCGCCATTTTTATGTTGTATTTAGTGTTATCTTCTATCAACTCATTATTATACTATTACCTATTACCTATTACATGTGACCGGTCGTTTAAAATTCAATTGCGTCGCTCGCACATAGTTTGTGCCGCGGCAAAATGACCTTGAACTTTGAGTTGTGGGTATAGAATACATTATTGAATGAATGACTCAATGTTGACATGCTGATCATAATATTTATATTTTTAATTTAAACTGTCAAACACCAAGCGGTCACCGGTGACCGCGACCTATTGTTCTTTAATTGTGTCTATAAAACCGGTACTCGACGAGTTAATTGTCATTGACATAGATGTGAAAATTGCTTTCCACGCATTAATTGTTATTGCTTTGAACGAAATTAACGAAACGTATCGAGGGTTCGATTCCCGCACGGAACAACTCTTTGTGTGATCCACAGATTGTTGTTCCGGGTCTGGGTGCCATGTGTATGTGACTTCGTATGTTTGTAAACGCACCCACGGCACAGGAGAAAATCCTAGTGTGAGGCAACGTTAATCTTACAAAAAAAAGATTAATATACTAATCAAAATGTTCAATTAATTCATCTGATTTTTTCATGGTAAAATTATCTGACTATCATTCCCAATAGTTTTTCAGTATTATAAACCATTAAAAAATGATTTTAAAAGTAAAACTCTATTTTTTGTACCCATTACTAGACAGGTTGTTAAAAATGGCCGTGAGACTAGAGCGGCAAGAAAAATTTAATACATTTTTTCTCCAGTTTTGATATCTGTTGACATATAGACAATCAGACTGTCCACATTATTTGTAGACATTGTTACATGTATGTTTAGTCTGTATTAAAATCACTAATTAGTAAGTAGAGGCCCCCTCACTATAATGTGTTATATAAGATAGAACACTCGTTATTAACGTTGCTGTCTACCCGTCATACTCTAGTGTGTGTACGCGTCGTGCGCCCTGCACATTACTGTAATAAATCCCACTATAATTTGATAATCCACCAACATAACATCCAAAGATTGTCTGGAAGAAATCGCCGCGTGTGATAAGACCGCCCATTGTACTCAAATTACTATTGCAATGTTTACAATTTTTTTCTGTGTGTGCAATGAAGTATAAATAAATAAATGTATACGTATTTGATAAGATTGTCTACTAACAAAGAGGCGATGTTATCTTCTTTTGACTACACCGTCATAATACTAGGATTATTGGTTTTAATATATCTGTGGCGACGCATGCCACATGTCAACAGATGACGTCACAAGAATCCTACATCGCGCATGCAAAGTTTACAAGCGAATAAACACGGATAGAAAATCCCAACGAACAACTGTTGGGCAGAAAGCCCGCCAGGCACGATCACCTCGCCTGGTCGGAGGATCCTCCTTTTCCGATCTTAGGGAACTATACTCTCTGTTCCCTAAAGTGGTGACCCCGACGTGATCGGAAACAACCTTCACTTCACGGAGCAGATTAGCACCGTCATCCGTATCGCCATCCCTCTCATTCATCACTTCTCCGCTGAGCGGTAATCAAGTCGCAGCCAACCAGCATCCTCGGCCTCATCAGGGACCACCATTACCTGCAACGAAGTTGTGCAGCCTGGTTCTTCCCTACGGCCTCACCAGCGTCTAGGCACAGCACTTCTGCACACGGTTCTGAAGGACATCTCCTCCCGTCAACGCAGATGCCGGCCACTACGCACCTACCCTCGCAGCATCTCTTCCCCGACTCACCGTGGGACACTGCGAACGCATCTCTCCGACTCACTGGAGTTTCACCCTGCACCGCTCACCCGACTCACTGGGCACTCAGCGGCACGGTTCCGACCCACTGGAACTAGGGACGTTCTACACTGGCTCTGGCACCGCTCATCTCAAGCATCGACAGCAGTCTCAGCGGAATCGACCTCCGGTCTTGGGAGGGAGTGATGTGGCGACGCATGCCACATGTCAACAGATGACGTCACAAGAATCCTACATCGCGCATGCAAAGTTTACAAGCGAATAAACACGGATAGAAAATCCCAACGAACAACTGTTGGGCAGAAAGCCCGCCAGGCACGATCACCTCGCCTGGTCGGAGGATCCTCCTTTTCCGATCTTAGGGAACTATACTCTCTGTTCCCTAAATATCTTTTCCCACCAAATTGTTTGTTGATAACTCAGTTTAAAGTAGATTACATTGATAAATTGATAAACTTTTTATTGTATTTGTTTGTTTATAAATAACAATACCTATGGCATTTTTACATAGTGTGCAAATCCGCGGAATTACCATACGCAAAGGCCGCGTGTCTGCAATAGATCTAGTTTTACAGGGCGGTTAAAACTAAATAATTTTATTTATTCAATTTAATCTCGGGTCGGGCAAAGTATTACTGGGTTTTTAATTCTCAGTAGTAGCACGGAGTCTGAAACTGTGCCCAGTATATGGCAATAGGCTCACCCTAGGCTACATGGGACTCATAACATAAATAGTGAAAAGTGGGTGTTACATTGTACAGTAGCATAATGTGCACTTCTGCCTACTCCTTCGGAGATAAAAGGCGTGATGTTATGTTTATTTATTCAATGAAATTGAAGCTCATTTTTACATATTAAAAATGAGTCGAAATGGACTCGTGTCAAAGGGGTATCGGCCAATTACGATTTTGGGGGATATTTCCACGAAAACTTGAATTGGCTACATTTGTCAAATAGGCGGAATTAGGTATCCCCGATGTCAGTTCCTTGGATTTGCACTATCACTACAAAAAAATAAAACTGCGATGCGGCGTCGCATCACAGTTTTGTGTACGTGTCCTTAGGGATCTATACCAAGTCCTTATTACCTACACGAACTATTAAATAATTTTCCCACCCATTTGGAGGTCAAAATAAGATGTCCAAATATCAATAAACCTACACTAATAGAACGATTAAAACCACTTTTTACTTTATTAACTTGACTAAAATTAAAAACTGACCATTTAGGTTTAATTGAAATGAAGTATTGACTGTACCTTAGCTAAAGCTGGCGCATTTATCAGTAAGAAGAAGGTCATCATCTGTCGGAAATTGAACGAGGAGGTCTCCTTGCCCAGCGCATAGAAAGTGTTGTTCTTGTCATTGTGCGAGTCCACCTTCAGACCGAAGGCACAGGACGCAATCACATCGTTAGCATAGCGGGTTGTCAGGTCCTTGCATTCTATGTCTATGGAGCCATCTGAAGAAAGTTAATGTTTTATTAATAATGACGTCACAAGTGTAGCTTAAGGAAAAATGGTTAATGTCTTGCGAAAGAAAAAGGTAAATTTGAAAAGGATTATAAAGAAGACTATCAAAGAAAAGATAACTATAGTGTGTAAGAATGTGAAAGAAAAGATCTTTTTCCTTGTCCCAAATAAAAATACGGGAGACAGAAAAAAGAACAGAGAGACTGGTATCAAAGTACTGGATATATGGGCAGAAACTAGATCAAGTATTACTTGCTTCATCAAACTCACCTTTGGATTGTTTTATACTTTGATGGAGTGACTGCATCATCTGTTCTCCGACTTCTACCATGAAAGGCACCATCAAACGCATCTTTGAGCTGGTGAACGCTGGACTCAAAGTAGAGCGCATGTCCTTCCATTCTTGACCTAAATAGAAACAATCCATCTTTGCTTAATAGATTTTAAACGTTAAGTACTGAATAGTAGTGACCAAAATCAAAACCTTCTTTTTGTTATTCACTGTGATTAACTTAAATGTGTTTTGCAAAATCGTTCATCCATTCTTCTGCGTAAATACAAAATATAGTTTCTTACTCTTTAAGTATCAGAGACTTGAGAACTATTGTAAGCTTGAAGTAAGTGCGGGAGAGCCATGCTCCGGCACGAATGGGCCAGCTCGACCGGAGTGATACCACGGCCTCACAGAAAACCGACGTGAATCAACGCTTGCGTTGTGTTTCGTCGTGTGAGTGAGGTTACCGCAGGACCAATTACCCTCCCTTTCCCCAATTTCTGAATCCCCAACGATCCTCAAACTCCTAATGTCCAAAAGGCTGGTAACGCACTTGTAACGCCTCTGGTGTTCCAGGTGTCCATATGCGACGCCGATTGCTTACCATCAGGTGATCCGTCTGCTCGTTTACCGGCTTATGCCATAAAAAAAAGCTTTAAATTGTAAGGTTGAAGGTCTAAAACTGGCTGTTGGTAAATACCTCTTAAAGAGAACAGGTTTCTGGAGAAATAGGATTCACTGTTGCTGAATAGAGAGCGATGGTCGAGGAAGTGTTCGAAGTCTTTGACAGCAATCTTCTTGATGAGCTCGATGTCACGGACCAGGATCAGCTCACTCACAAACTCGTATCTACCAACGAACCTGATGAATCGAAGAAACATTTAAAATACAGTAATAAGAATTATGTATACTATAACTTTTGTTATAATTAAGACCCTATAGGTACTATTGATAAAGTTTAATTCTGAACAGGTGTATCCTTATCATAGAAAAGCTGTTGGAAACAGTCAACAAAGAAAGATGTTACGATAAGAGGATGCATACTGCACTGTTGATTAAACAAAAACTCAAAATCTATATAATTTTATTCTAGAGGTACGTCACGCATAACTTTAGCAAATAGCAAAAAAATTCTAGTCCAAGCTCTAGGATAAGTATAATTGTTGATCTCCATATAATCAAAGTCAAGGTCAAAGTCAAAATTTATTTATTTCCATGTTCAAGGCAAGTTTCCAAGGCACGTTTGAAGGTCAAATTTTTTTAAAGTGAAGCTTTTTGTTCATTCCAAGGTGTAGATTCCTATAGAGAAGAACGAGCAAGATACTCCATAGGTTACTCTTTTTAAGTCAGATTCACTATACAATTTTTAGTGACACAGTTTTGTTTATTACCTATACATTTACGCAGTTGCACAAGATAAATTGTGATGAGCTCCTTACCTCTCCTCAGGGAAGTCGTTGTACAGCTTCACAATATTATCACAAATATGGTCAATGCGTAACAGAATGCCGCCCATGTTGCCGAAGATAGGTACTGGCTTAATGTGCTTGATGCCATGGCGATCAAATGAGGAGTAGAGCTGCCTGAAGTATAGCACCACGGCGGCTACCAGCACCGCCACCCAGATCAATAGGATTATCATGATCTGTAAAAAATATAATTGTTTATATTCGTTCTTGTCTGGATTCATTGTAAACAAATAATGAGTTTTGTCAGGTACTTCGTGGCCATGCTTAGACGAAAGCTACCCTATTTATTTTAATGTCCGTCTGGTACATTAATTCAAAACTTTAGACACGTATATTTTCTTTCCTCACAAAACTAAATACTTTCGACGATATATTAATTTGAAATATCCTGTGACGTCACAGCGTGCCACATTTTGTACCACGTTATGACGTAACAACCTCCCACTTCTAAACTTAGCGCCATTTTATCTAAGTATTGCAACTTAATACGAGAAAATAAAAAAATACGTATCTAATATTTTTTCATTATCTTACTGACGACTAAGATACCCTGGAAACTTCCCAATTGTATCATACTTAGTATTAGGATGAAAGACGTACTTATGACCTATGTGTAATTCTAGATTATACATTAATCTAAAACAATACTCGTCCATCATTCCTGACTAAATACTTTAATTTAGAGCTGTCACAGTTAGGCTTTTATTTTGAGGAGGGAAATCATCCAATGACATTTCCCGCCTTGGGTCAGTTAAGAGGGAGTGTCAGACACTTCCTGAATAAAAACCACCCCGTTCTTACTTCTGCTCTTTGAGCCGGAGCCCCGGTAACCTGTTATGCCTTCCGCGGCACTGTAGTCGTATTTAGGTTACATAGTATTTGTCTTGCATTTTAAAAAAATACGCGTGTAATGTTTTGATGTGATATTTACACATAAGCAAGTAAGTAGACATTCAATTGTTTTGTTTTAATATATTTTATATTAACATAACATAACATAACATCACGCCTTTTTATCCGCGAAGGGGTAGGCAGAGGTGCACATTTCGGCACTTAATGCCACTGTACAATGTAACACCCACTTTTCACTATTTATGTTATGAGTCCCATGTAATAGGGGGTGAGCCTATTGCCATATACCGGGCACATTTTTCCAGACTCCGTGCTACTACTGAGATTTTTAAAAACCCAGTAATACTTTGCCCGACCCGGGAATCGAACCCGAGACCCCTTGCCCGGCAGTCGCACTTGCGACCACTCGGTCAATGAGGCAGTTTTATATTTATACATTATATTAGTATTTTATATTAATATATATACTTGACAATATAAACACGTTTAAAGCACGTGTTCCTATTATATATTGAAGTATTTATGTACTTACGTATCGAATATGTACTTCACAATGTGAATCATACAACTATACAACAGACAATCAAATAAGCAATTACGTCGTACATACATAATTACTCTAAAATTAAAGCCGGTGTTTTTGCAGCAAACAAAAAATGTAAACAAGGTTATCTTTCGACATGTTATGTCATTTGAGATAAGTACAATTTGATTAAGTAACGCGCGAATCCTGAAAGAGAGAGAGAGTACAACTTGAAATTGTACTTAAATATCGTGCCGTCTCTGTCATTTTACAAAGAATTTGTTGTGACAGAACTATATTTAAGCGCGACTTACAATTAGGTAACGTTTTAGTATTTGGGCATAAATCATATTATACATAATTGATATTTTGTTTTCACTGTTGTTTGTCGAATATGGTTTACAACCGCGACTGTCGAGTTTTTAACAAGGGGTTTTAATTTTTATAAGATTTAATTTAATAATAATTTAGTGTTGAATAAAGTCATAAATAAGTAATGACTTTTTTAGGTTTAGGATATTCTCAGCAATAGTATGGAGCCTAGAATTATGTTTGAGACTTGGCGATAAGTTTACCTCTTATTACATTGAATTCATGATATAAGTGGTAAAAATTTGATGTTACCTTTTACCTAACTCTTTGTTTATACAAAGATTTACGATTTAACCCTTTGAGTACCGTCATTATAGACACAATTAAAGAACAATAGGTTGCGGTCACCGGTGTCCTCGCGGTGTTTGACAGTTTAAATAAGGATATAGATAAATGTCAGTAACTTAGGGCCGATTTTTTCAACGCCAGTAAAATTTTAACTGAAGTATTTTTTAAGGGGTGGATATCATCAAATGACTTCTCCCGCCTGGGTGAGGCGGGAGGGAGTGTCAGACATTTACTGACTAATTCTTAGACTTGTTTTTGACCCGGCTCGAAGTGCAGGAGTAGTCCTGCAGTGATGATTCAAACATCGGCCCTTAACCACACGTCTTTAGCGGGTGACTACTTATTAGAGCATAATTAAACAAATTGAAATAATCTTATCGATGTTTTTTATACAATTATACAATACTCATTGACGTCCGTGTCAACAGGTGCAATATCAACATTATGACGTTTAATACTTTAATCGCATATATAATAAATCGCAATTGTATATTATATGGAACTATGTTTTTTAAAAGCGACGAAAACTTTTGGAGGCGTCTATAACTTGTGAAGTTTTTTTATGGGATAAACCGGTAAACGAGCAGACCGTACACCTGATGGTAAACAATTGGCATCGCCCATGGACACCTAGAACACCAGTGGCGTTACAACTGTATTACCAGCCTTTCGTGGATTAGGAATTTGAGGATTATTGGGGATTCCGGTATTAGGGAAATTGGGGAAGAGCCCCTAGTAATTGGGCCTCCGGTAACCTCACTCACACGATGAAACACAACGCAAGTTGTTTCACGTCGGTTCTCTGTGAGGCCGTGGTCCGGCTCCGGTCAAACCACTCCTTCATGCCAAAGCATGGCTCTCCCACTTTTTTTTTGCTAAATGCTCGTTTAAGGTGTTTATTCAAATGGAAAGATACTTTGTGAAAAGTGGTTTTTGCTCAGCTGTAGCCACTTATAGACTGTTGACGTGCGATGTGAAGCAGGAAAATGTTAATGGTTACTCTATAATTCAGTTTCAAATTATTTTAATTATCATATTACTAGCTTTTACCCGCGGCTTCGCTCGCGTCACAAAAGGATAAAAAGTAGCCTATGTGACATATACCAATACATACAGCGCCATCTATACCAATACTTTTGTTTTCCTTCGGGAATATCAAATTTTATCGGGATAAAAAGTACCCTATTATTTAATCCAGACTACTAACTTAACATCTGCAAAAATTCAATGCAATCGGTTTAGTAGTTACGGCGTGAAGTCGGAACAAACAAACAAACAAACAAACTCACTTTCCGATTTATAATATTAGTAAGGATTATTAATTGGTAAACAATGATCAAACATAAAATTATCAGTTTTTTAAGTTCATTGACAGTCATTACATTTTTTTGAATTACTTTCTAGATGTTATCATTTATTGTGTTGCTAAAGCTATCTTGACTGCGTTGAATCGTGACTCGAAAATAGCTGTACAGATTTTCATGAATTTTATTTTGTTGAAAACGTCTCTATGTACCTAAATATTAAGTTAAAAGTCGCGCAGCAAAGTTATTAGAAGTTTTCTCAAGTTCTTCTATTGATATCATAAATGCGAAAGTTTGTATGTTTGTTGGTTTGTCCTTCACCTAAACACGGCGGAAGGGATCGGAATGAATTTTGGAACAAGGGTAGGTTGTGGTCTGGAATTACACATAGGCTACTTTTTATCCCAAAGTAAAGCGGGCGAAGCAGCTGGTAGGAACTAGTATTCTATATACCAAAAGATATTACAAAGTTTGTCTTCTAATAGAATCGTACGCCGTGTATTACATAACACGCCTTTTATTCCTAAAAGGGTAGGCAGAGGTGCACAAATGCAACACCCACCTATTGTCATATACCGGGCGCATTTCCAGACTCCCTGCTACTATTGAGATTTTTTTTAATAACCCAATAATACTTTGCCCGATCCGGGAATCGAACCCGAGACCCCTGGCCCGAGTCGCACTTGCGACTGTAAAAGTGTATTATACGCCGTGTATCTAGATGACAATTGATTCAACAAAGTCAATTCAACGAAGAAGGGGTCACGGTTTTCATTTGACATTAGTCTGGGATTTATATTTAGATACCATCACATCAAGATGACCTAGTATATCGAACTTTGTCAATAGACTTTTGACTTTATTCCATAAAATTTAAAGTTGGAAATCTATTGCTGTTGCATTATTATGATGGATGGATGGCTTTTAAATGAGAAGTCAATTAGAACAGATCACGTTTAGCAATTGATGTTAGTGTGTAAGTACTAGATGTATCTATGTAATTATGTATGTAGTGGACATAGTCCAGTCGTTAACGACCACGTGTGTCTACCGTGAGTGGGTATTCATTTATATTCATAGCACTCTATGCTATTTATTTTTTTATACATATTTTCTAAAGTTACATTATACAGTGGCATAATGTGCACCTCTGCCTACCCCTTCGGAGATAAAAGGTTATTTCAAATTTATTACAAACAGACATTCCAATTTTATTTATCTGTATAGATAAACTAGCTACTTCTGCGCGGTTTCACACGTTCTGCTCAGCTCCTATTGGTCGTAGCGTGATGTTTTATAGCCTATAGCCATCCTCGATAAATGCACTATCCAACACAAAAAGAATTATTCAAATCAGACTTATAGTTACGGAGATTAGCGCGTTCAAACAAACAAACAAAAAAAACAAACTCTTCCGCTTTATACCTCTATAATAGTATAAGATAAGAGTATGAGATAAAAAGCCTTGATATTAATGTCGGATTGTTTTGTTTATGTTTATATTTATAGTTGTTTACTTATATTTCGATTTATTTGCATAGTCTTGCCTCGTTGAGAGTGGTCGCAAATGCAACTGCCGCACAAGGGGTCTCGGGCTCGATTCCCGAGTCGGGCAAAGTACTACCTATTGGGTTTTTTAAAAAAATCTCAGTAGTAGCACGGAGTCTGCAAATGTGCATTACATGAGACTCATAACATAAATAGTGAAAAGTGGGTGTTACATTGTACAATAAAATTCAATGCCGTAATGTGCACTTCTACCTATCCCATCGGGGATAAAAAGCGTGATGGTATGTTATGTTTATTTATATATGAATTGAGAATGAATCAGGGT